AGTAGTAGTAGTAGTAGTAGTAGTAGTAGTAGTAGTAGTAGTAGTAGTAGTAGTAGTAGTAGTAGTAGTAGTAGTAGTAGTAGTAGTAGTAGTAGTAGTAGTAGTAGTAGTAGTAGTAGTAGTAGTGCATTTTGCAGAGCCCCTGTGATGGCAGATGAGTTTTTGTTTTTGATGAGTAGAATTGGTATAATTTTTCAAGCTGGGATTGATGTATGGAAGATGGTGTGAATGTGATTCTCATTTTAACTATGCCTAACTAGAGACCTAAGCTTTACACAGAAGAATCTGTACTATGATTTTCCAAGGGGTCAAATTTATGACTCACTGAATGAGTGATATTGCCTCTTCTTCTGTTCCTTAAACAAAATCTATCTTTTTGCCTCCCCCATTCTGTACATGAATGCATCAAACATTAAAAAATTAATATCAATGTATAGATGTGGCAGAATATTTTATGATATGACTAAACTATTTAAATGCCACAAAATCTGTGAATTGAAACAAGATATATTTAGTATTTTGATTTTCATTCCAGACAAACCGAACATCTCTCTGAGTCGTGGTCTAGTTCTGTTCCCAGAGTACTCTGTAGTCAATTTCAGCTGTGTAGTGTGGAGTCCAAAGCCGGTAGAAGTCAAATGGTTCTTCAAAACCTGTGACCTGAGAAAACCAGGTGACTGTGACAATGATGACAACTTCAGGCAGGAAGGTGTAAGTAACTCACTGAACAGTACAAAATAAACTACTGCTGCTACTACTACTATTACTGCCACTGCCATGACCAGGATAATGACAATGACGACAACGACCACAACCACGATTATGACTGCTGTTACTGTTTTTTAAAATTTTTGATTTCCTTTCAAATAAAGAAGCTTCTCACTAGGTCATGGACCTTTGCAAGTAGTAGTAGATCACTTTGTTGTGTGATGTTGACACAACTAACTATATTAAGTGATTCTTACCATGTAGTATTGTGCATAAGAAATGAACATTGATGTTTCAGCTTAGTAAACATGTGAAAGACTCTAAGGAGGCATACGATGTGTTCAGAATCTCACTCATTGTTACACAAGGAATCCTCCGGTGTGCTGCCAAAAACTCATTTGGAAATGGAAATGATTCCCTCAAACTCTACATCACAGGTAAGTGACACAAGTTTGTTTCAGAGTTTAAAGAAGAATGTGCTAAATATAAAATTCCAGGACAAATTGGTAGTAGTTTTAATATAAACTTGCTTTTGTGTTAAGATATGCTGCATTGGAGAGGGAAGAAGTGTGAAGAAAACGTGTACTTTGTAATTTTAATTTTATTATTTTTTGTGTTGTTCATTTTCATTCTGATCTGAAAGTTCTATGTTCTAAACATCACAACCCAGAAGAACACCATCAGCACATGTGGCAGGAGTTCACTGACAAAGCATTATTAAATACTTTGACTCATTTGCAGTACTTCCATGGAATCTGTGTCTCTTCTGTTAAACTTACAGATCTTCCACATGTGAGGGAGACCCCACATGTGTGGGGTGAGCCAGATGATGTGGTTATGGAAGGGGAGGATTCCTTCAGTGTGGTGGAGGGAGACAATTTCACCCTGAAGTGTGCGTCTAGTGTGTACAACAACACACATCACCCAGTGTGGTACACAGACAGGAGTACTGTCCACAACTCTACAGGTAAGGCATCAGCTAAACTTTGAACAATAGCGCAATCCAGTTTTATTTCATTTTATTTAAGATATTTTTTGGTGAATTTCAATGGTCAGGACTATTACACACCTTAGGCTGGGGCCACACGACCGTACAAAGTACGTCCGTTGTAACGCACATCGTGACGTCCGTCATAGAATTATGAAAGGGCAAGACCACAGAACGCAACGGCTTCTTCTGGCTCCACTGGGGCAACTGATGCATCATACTGCGCTCATGTGCAACGGACGTACTTTGTATAGTCGTGTGGCCAGAGTCTTAGTTGGACAACAGTATCTTCCTGGGCTCCCATTCCCATCTTCCTTTTTAAACACATCCCATACCTTATGTATAGTCTATATAGCTGTATGTGTGAGTAAGTGTGCCTAAGATCTGTATACTTTGTTGTAACCTAAGAAGTTCTTGGAACTTTATTCCTTCTGACATAATGTGCACAACTTTAATTTTTATTTGTGTTGGAATTCAGAAACAAATTAAGCATGAAATTAAAAACTGGAGGAACCATGACACAAAACATGCCTTACTCATATAGTAGCAACATAAGACACTTTGTGTCATATTGATGATTTTGATCATACCCAAGGTCTAGAAAGATTATGGCCCGTTATAAGGTACTGCCCCAGCATTTGCCAGAAGTGACTTGAGAATTTCCATTAAAAACCATAGACAGGGTAGAATATCTGTATGTTGAAATTTTAACCTTCTTGAATCTTCTGAATATGAAGCAGACATTTTGGTAAAAGTGAGTAGTTATATTGAAACAGGAGGAAGGCAAATTTATTGACAGCTAGAACATATGCAGTTAAGAGTTTTGCAGACATTTATGCTGATTAATAAAATGCCTAAAGATAGTGTTTGTAATCATATTGTAAATACTCCTTAGAATTATCACTAGAAGACACTGATACACTTTAATTTGATTTTCAATGTTCACAGGACTGAAAGTAATAACCAGTAAAACAGAATTCCTGTATGTGAGCAACTTGGAGTTCATCAACATCACAAAGGAGCAGCACACTGCTGTATACAGTTGCTACGAGAACAACGAGACAACAACACCTCTGGGCAAACAGATTCTTGTTGCAGGTAGTTAGAAACAAAGCTTTTATGAGCTTTGGATGCACAACATGAATTAAAAAATGACACAAACACAACCTTCCTAAAATATATTATTATAATGTAATAATTATTTCATGTCCTATAAGAAGGGTTGAAGTCAATACAAATTCTGTATGGCTGAAGACTTACTTACAGAGCACCAAAGAATTGTAAGAATGTCATATGTTTGCAATCTTTGTGAAAATTGCAGTCATTGCTTTTCAGATTCTGAAAATGCAAAGATTATTGAAACTAATCTGGAAAATATGGAAGTAAAACTGGGAGACAGCCTGAACATAACCTGTAGGTCAGCTGGAATGCCAGAACCAATTACGCTCTGGTACAAGGTGGGTACTCAAAAGATTAATGAAATACAGGTAGCCCTTGATTTATAAGTTTTATTCAAAATCAGCGATGTAAGAATTATGATTTAGTATAAGAATTAGTACGAGAAACATTGTAAAACGTTATAAATAATAGTAAAATATATTTTTTGACTTGCTGGTTTTAAAATTGGCATTATTCTGAATCAGCGCAAATCAAGGGCTACCCATATAATCTTTATTATACAAAAACAGAGGATTAAATCTTAGTGTTATGGGGACGGTGGCTAGACTGTTGCTTCATGGCCAGCAGTTTAGCAGCATGCTAGTGAGATGTACAGTCAGCTGGACTGCATGTAAACTGCATAACCTGGCAATGAAGGTTGAACTTTCACTGCAGTATATTCATTCTAATGGAATAATTTGTTCAGTCACCAATACCATGTACATACTGGAAGTGTCTTGAAGATTTTCGACCTTTACCATGTTGGAATAGGTGACTTAAACCCTCATACTACAGAGCTGTCAAACAAACTTTAATTCTGATGTATGACCAACTGAATCTGGCACAAGCAATGGTGAACAGATGATAAAGTTTAATTTTAAGTTGATCTTGAGAACAGCACTTAATCTTTATCTTTTATGTTTCTTTCTGTAAGTTGTTACAGTATTCCAGTGACTTATTTTACACATTAAGTCACGAGTCAGTCATTATTGAAAGTTTGTTTTATTTGTGAGGCAGGATGGAAAGCTTGTAATTAATGACAAAACAGTGGAACTGACGGAGAGGAATCAATCATTGAAGATTATACTAATGAAACCAGAAAATGAAGGGAAATATACCTGTGTGGTGAAGAACAGGTTGCAGGAAGACTCAGCTGAGGGTTATGTTACCGTCACAGGTAAAAGATGTTAAACTGTGTTGTATGATTAGTAACTCAGGGCATGCAAATTTTTGTCAGAAAATCTTTGCAGAAGAGAATATGTCAAAGGTCTATTTATACATGGGAGAAAAATATGAAAATTGATCTTAAAAATAATACTTATTTTACTGAGGACTGTATTAAGCTGGTTTGAGATAGATTGCTTAAAATATTAGGAATTTTTTGACTGAGTGACGTTGTATTTTGAGAAAAGCTCTACTCTGTGTTATGAGTGACATAATTTGGTAATAAAATAACAAAGAAAATGTGTCTAAAATATACATCCTTTTATATCAGTAACAAGACCTAACCATCATAATTGTATGCAACATACTGGATTTTAAATATGCTTAAAATATTCCAAAGAGAGCAGTAATAAGAAATATATGCATTTAACACATTCACTGCTCTGCTACTCAACAGGGATTTAAATACCTAGTTCAAGCCACTTTCACTTGGGAATGTGTTTAACTTGAGTAGAAAAATCTAAATATCTTAGAAATTATTTAAAGTAATTGCATGTAACGTTACCTTTAGTACTGCTTTAGGGTGTGTAATTCATCTGTGAAAGTTTAACTGTATTCAAGTAACATCTCTAGGAGAATAGACAATTATATGTACGTCAGCACTAAAATGTCATTGGATGTTTTTGGCACTATTGTTGGCAGCATATGACAGACAAGGAAAAGGTATATTATACAAAGTCTTTATCTTTGCCATATGGGAATACGGGAGTTAACTGACAATCAGAATGGAGTTAAAGGTTTAGCTGTATTTAATTATGATTCACAGCCAACTGGAGTCCATAAATCATGATGCATGGCCTATAAAAGTTAAATACTGTAGAGAGACTGTCACAAATTATAAATTAATAATTATGTACCTCAGAGGTAAGAAACTTTAAATAATAATGATGTAAGTAGAGAGTAGTAGAGAGATTAAGTTGTCCCATATTATTATTTTAATAGAAATTGAGACTGACATTTATTTGAACCTTAAATTGTTGATTCCATTGACACATTTTATTATTTACTTCTCTGTAGTATAAGTGTCAATATGGAGATATTATCATTATTTGAAAAATGTCCTAAATTGGAGTTGTTTTGTTGCAAAAGTTATTTGAATCTATTAAGGATTGTGGCTATGAAGCTTTTATGATGGTCTGATTTCATAATAGTTCATGATGGTTTCAGTTCTAGTATGACATTATGATATGTTATGCTTGTTACAGGCAAGGCAGGTTTCAGTGTTACCATGGTAGTCATTACAGTGGTATGTGCCTTTGTTGTTGTAGTGCTAATCATAGTGCTTATAGTGAAGACGCTAAAAGCAAAGGTGAGTAGCAATATTTGGTAACTTTATTTTGGAATCCATGATGGAATCAGATGTGCTAAATGATCAATTGTCGCTACTAGTCATTATTTTATTGGTTCATTAACTATATCCTTCCTCAGTACTTTTAAGGAGGGTATTAAAATTGTTTAGAATTTCTTTGCAGGAACACTTATTACATACCTTATTTGATTATAAATCAACTGTTTGAAATTCTTGAGATGTCTGTGAGCATATTTTGTGAAACTGAAATTAAAGATGTCTACCATTACTATTTTGAAATTTGTAGAGTACCTGTTCCTATAAGAACTAAGGAATGCTTCTAATTTTTCATACATTCCTTATGTAAACATGCTCTTTTTTTACAGACTGCACAAGTTTGCTATAATAATGGTAAATTTTCAGACTTTTGGGAAGATTGTTGAACTAAATTAGTGAAGTATGAATTGAAAGTCATTGAATGGCAGGTTATTTAACATTTATCAAGCATTTGTTGAGGTTTGTGAGCAGTCTAATTTTCTTTGCCTTGTACTAGTGTATCACTAAGCCATTAACCCTAGAGTTAGAGTCCAGCTAACAAACCTGTATTACAGGGATTTAAAGCTCCTATTCCAGCATAATAAAGGTTAACCCTTTGCAGCTGAAATACTTTTTTTTTGTGGCTGTGCATCATCCAGTATAATCAAAATTTGAATATTTCTGATGATACTGTGACATGTGTAAAAGTGTGTGGCAGTATTGTTTAAGTAGCATACTTCCTTTACATTTCTCTTAGTTGAGTCTTACTATTTGTATGAATAAAGATAAAAAAACAAAGTGCTTGTTATGTCTTTGTTAATTAATTTGTTAATCACCTGAACATGTGAGTGTTGTTGATCTGCAGAAACTTCAGAAGGAACTGAACCTGGCTGGTCTAGCAAATTTTGAGAAGGGAGCATTGGAATGTATTAACCCAGAACTACCTGTGGATGAACAAGCTGACTTGCTACCATATGACCGGACCTGGGAGTTCCCTAGGGAAAAACTTATTCTAGGTATAGCACTGTAAAATGATGAATATACGTAAAATATCAGGAAGGTCAAATTTGATCAAGATCTTCTGAGCATAAGCTCAACTAGGTCTATGATTCCAGGAAATATTCATTAAAACAGAGGTTTGTTCTGGATAACCAAGCAGCTGACATGTGTTGAAATGAATGAGATGGTGAAACATTTTATAATGTAACCAGGAAGAAAAAAAAAAA